TGTGGGCATGCAAGCAGGCAAGGCATGTGACAACATGTTAGGCAACTTAACCAAGATAAATGCATGCCAAATGCAAAGCCATTTAAACATGCAACAACACATGATAAGCCAAGTATGCAATCAAGACACAAGGTGAGCATGCCACAACATGCGAGAATGGACTTAGACTAATTTAGGTAGCCCTCAAACAAGCCTATAACAGTGGCCAACATGCTCAAGGATGGAAGCCAAAACACATACAAATAGGCATGCATGCAAGGTCCAACACTTAGGCAAGTAGAGACAACTTTTAAGCACACTTAAAAGAGAATAAACATGGACCAATGGCATGCATTATAAGCTCTGAAATTGCATGGAAAAGAGGTGCCAAACTGACCAATCAACACAAGCAAAGCATGCAAGCATGGCTAAAACTCAAGGCAAGCTAAAAGGGTATTGAGCTATACTTAGCAAAACCAAACATGGTAGGATTTAAACAACAAAAATCAGAGTCTTAGCATGTTAAAACAAAGTCAAAAACACATCTAGATGGCATCTAAATGGTCTAAACATGCAAGCATACGAAAGAGGCCAAACATGGAGCGTAAGATGACAACCTTATAAAGCATTAAAGGGACATCAAATGCAAGCATACAAGCATGCCATGAGGACTGAAATGACATGCTAAGCGGTTCCAAACCACTGAAATGATGCAAGCAATGCATGCTCCACACTCACACACCCAAAGCCTACAAACCAAAATGCAAGGTGGCTATACTAAGCATGTCATGGTCGACCAAAACAACCAAAAACAGAGCTTAAGCATGCTAAAACGAGTACAAAATCTTCACAAAGCTAAGCCAAAAGCATGCTAGAAACAAGGCTCAAAGCACAAGGCATGTTAAGGCAATCCACGGCATTACAAGACATGTATGCAAGGCAAGCATGGTGCGTCCAAGCCAAGTAAAAATAGAGGTAATATAGGGAAAAATACTACCAAATAATACTTAAGACATGGCCAACATTCACTTAGAAAGGATGCTCACACGTGATGCAAAAATGGCCCTTTTCAAGGACAACAAGGAGAGGGGGTGGCCCTCTCTTTCTTAGGACCTTAAGGCACCATCCTCACCACTGAAATCCCTCAAGATTTCAGTGGCGAGAAGGCCCAAACAAAGTGGTCCCGGAGCTCACCAAAATAGCACAAAAATAGGGCCAAACAAGGCCTAAGAGGGGTCAAATAACCCCAAACAACAAAACACTCTCAAACAACTATTTAGAGCAAGAAAAAATAAGACTTTTATATGTTATAAGCTAAGCTCGAAAACAGGTGTAAGGTAGTCAAAAAAGCTATGCAAAAATGGGGAATAAAGGGCAAGAACACTCACCCTTGAAGAACACTTCCAAGATCACAAGACCAGACCTTTTCTTGTATCAAAACTAGCTTAAAAAGTTCAAGATCAACGCTCTAATGCCTCAGCAACTAAGGAAAGGTGTAATGGTAGGTGTTTGTGTACAATAGTAAGAACAAACACACACTAATACACCAAAAGGAGGAAGAGATATAGAGATAGAGTATATGTAAACCCTAACCCTAAAACTCAGAGCTCTGGAGCTTTTTTTGTCAACCCTAATGGAGGGAGAAGAGGCTCCCTCTTATAGAGCTCACTCTTGCAAAGCTTCTCAAGTAAGCTAGTCAAGAGGGAGATCCCTCCATACACGTGTATGGAGGGGGGCAAAGTGGGTGCCAGCTATCACAGCTGGCACAAAATATCTGCCAAAAGCAGATGCACAGTGGTCTGGGAGCAAAGTGGGTGCCAGCTATTACAGCTTGCACAAAAATATCTGAAAAAGCAGATGAACAGTGGTCGGCCAGCCAAAAATGCAATTTGACCAAAATAGATGGCCGGTCGACCATCTAGAGTGCCGGTCGGCCAAACATTTGGCCGATGGCAACAAAACACAGCCGGTGGCCTCAAGGCATGGCCGGTGGAGTGTGGGGATGGCCAACAAGCCATTCCCTGCCCCTCAAAGGCAAAACACAAGTGTTTGGTGCAAAACCAAGCACAAAACAGTCGAGTCGAGAGATTCTAAGGCGAGGCGCGTGGCCGAGACCTCTGTGAACTCAAGACGAACACAAACATGGATGATCACCGAGTGTTCAAACGGTGACGTCCAAGTCTTGAGGACGGTCAAAAATGGGGTGTTTACAATTACTTAGTAAATTACTCTGTAAATTCATCGTAAATTCACTGTAAATTAGTCAATAAATTCCAGTAAATTCCAAATAAATTCTCTGTAAATTCTTAGTAAATTACTCAATATATTCCCAGTAAATTACTCAGTAACTTCATGATAAATTCTCAGTAAATTTCCAGTAAATTCTTAGTAAATTACCCAGAAAATTCCCAATAAATTCCTAGTAAATTACTCAGCAAATTATTCAATAAATTCTCACTAAATTACTCATTAAATTCCCAGAAAATTCTAAGTAAATTACTCCATAAATTTTTAATAATTTCCAGTAAATTCTCGGTAAATTACTTAGTCAATTATCAGTAAATTCTCTGAAAATTACTCAGGAAATTACTCGATAAATTCTCAGCAACTTACTCAGTACATTCTAAGAAAAGTACTCGAAAATTTCAAGTAAATTCTCAGTAAATTACTCAGTATATCACTCAGTAAATTCCCAGTATATTCTTCGGCCCAAAGGGTAATGGTGGCACGATTGTCATCAAGTTCAATTCGAGATCGGCCTGAATCATTCAGTTGGCGCGACATGATTATGCCGAGCAGTGGCCCATCAATAATCAGCACTGGGCTGAATAATCAGCCTAGCGACCCAATTGACATAGGCCTATCAGTAAGTGAGGCCGGATCCAATAACTCTGAATCATCAAGACTCAATATAGACGAGGTGTCTAAATTAATAGCAGACGCTGTAAAGGCCACAGTGGAAGGATCCGCATCAGCCCAAAAACATAATGTACAACGGAGGCCAATGTAAAATAAATTGTAATCAATTATTTTATTAATAACAATATTTCAGTTTGCAATTCAAATGCGCCCTTACAAACGACTTTGTGCGACATTCCCACACAAAATAACAAATAATTGTGTTTTTTACAATATTATTATACGCGTCAGTCAGAAGTCCACCACTATCCCGGAATTCGGATACAATATTGTTTCCCATGTTGATAAATGTTTTAACGCCTTGACGGCTAATGGCTGCATATTCATTAGTTTGCGGCGGCATTGAAACGGGCACACGCCGCAATACAACAAAACGATTTGTTTCCGTACCCCTAACCATACAACCAGTTCGTGGGTCACCACTGGACCATTGGAAAACATCTTCAAATTTAGGCGTATAGGCAGGATTAGGAAAGTGGCACAACACAACGATAAATTCACATTGTCCATTGTCAAATATACCAGATGTATCGAAATCCACAATTTGAGTAGGAGCATCACGCATGTCGCTTTCCAATCCAGGAGTATCGGCGGCAACCTTAGAGAGCCTGCCAGTTTGGCGTAAAACTACACCCTATATGTACAGTCCTAGAAGCTTTAATTTTTCCCCAAGTCGTTCATTGTGTTCAGTACCAACATCGGGCAAGTCAAAATGAAAAAAATGCGGCTCATCAAACGGGCAAAAATCGTCAATCCTCCAGATGGAATCACAAAACGATTTAGACGTGAATCGTTTTTTTTTTGGAATAACTCCATTTTCGCTTAAAATAACGTCGTCCCGAAACACTGGATCTACTAGATGTGGTCCACCGGCGACTAAAATTTATTTTTGTTCTGGGAGTATATGGACGACGTTGTGAAAATCGAAACGTAGTAGCCATAATCGATGGTGAAAATCCAGCAATTAAATGGAGCACATCGATTTAATTTTATAAGCATAAAATGTTGACCGTGATATGGGTCAACGTTAACAGTGTATGGCAACTAAAATACGTGGAATAGTGGAACGATGAGCGTATTTGACGACAAATAGTAATAGATGGCACAGGTTGCACCAAGGAAACAACATGTGGGCCATACAAATGAGCCCACCATTTAAATTCAAATTCCCGCTAGTGCTTGCCTTTTTAGATCTTTTAATCCTGGCCGCAGATCTAGGAGCAGAGCGGAGCCCTTACTCGACAACACACCGCGAATTGCGGAAGGGAGAACCAATCGGGGGACGACACGTGGCGCGGGGAGGGGGGTAAGCATCCCAGGTAATATTAGTGGGACGCTCCTGGGAACCTATATAACTCACTCCCTCACTCTCTTATACCAGTAAAGTTTTTAGAGAGTGACTTGCGTCATCCGAGAGAGTGAGTGACGTCATTGAGAGTGAGTTATGGCATCAATGTGACGTCGTTTTAAATTAATTATTCTCCCAACTCTATCAACTCGGATATATAAGAATATGTATAAGCCATTCATACGCCATAAGAGAATTGTGTATCTGGCAATTCAAACAGACCGCTGCGCTAGCACAATGTCAGAAGAAATACAACAAGCCGAGCTTACAGATAACATTCACCAGAATGAGGAGGGGGAATTGGAAACCGAAATAATAGACGCGACATCAAACTTGCCGGTTTCCAATATATCAATAGCAAATCCAAAGATAGGAGATGCAATGTGGCAGAAGTTCACATTCAAGTCAATGATAATTGATAAATGCAAGCTAAGCTACAGGCCATAGTGTCCATTTAATTCTACCGGTCGCGTCGAAGTTGAAATACGGGACACACGGTTACGAGCGGATGACCAATTACAGGCTCGCTTTACTTTTCCAGTTACATGCCCAGTAGACATCACATATTTTGGAAATGCGTATGCTGCCGCAGATAAGAACGGATGCCCATGGACAGTGTCGTACAAATTGCTATATTAGTGGGACGCTCCTGGGAACTTATATAACTCACTCACTCACTCTCTTATACCAGTAAATTTTTTAGAGAGTGACTTGTGTCATCCGAGAGAGTGAGTGACATCATTGAGAGTGAGTTATGGCCTCAATGCGATGTCGTTTTAGAGTTCAAAACAAGAACATCTTCCTCACATATCCAAAATGTTATGTTCCTAAAAAGAGATTGTTAGAGAAAATTAGAGAGCTGTTCACAAACAGGCCACCAAATTATGTGCGGGTTGCATATGAATTACATGAGGACGGTGAACCACAACTCCATGCTCTTGTCCAATTTCCATACCGTTTTCAGACACAGGATGAACGGTTCTTCGACGTTACGCACGATCAAACTAATCGGCATTTCCATCCAAATGTACAATGGGCCAACAACCATCAGAATGTATTGGAATACATTTCCAAACACGGAGATTACACGGAATGGGGCGAATTCCATCAGAGGGGCCGCTGCGCTAACCAGGACAACAAAGAAAATATATACCATGAGGCTCTTGCAGCCGGAAGCAAAGAAGAAGCTATGGCATTGGTAAGAAATGGCGATTCAAAATGTTTCTGGCTAAATTATGACAAGTTGTCATCCAATTACAACAAGCTTTCATTTACTCCGCCATTGCCATATGTTCATCAATTTGTAGATACAGTGTGGATCGTTCCAACAGCCATACAGCAATGGGTTGCGGAAAATATAAGGGATGGAGCCCAAAGACCACACAGGCCCAAGAGCATTATAATTGAAGGCCCATCTAGAATTGGGAAAACTTGTTGGGCCCGGTCTTTGGGGCCGCATAATTATTATTCTGGCCACATCGACTTGAGAGACCACAACGACAACGCTTTTTACAACATAATCGATGATGTGGCCCCACAATATTTGAAACATTGGAGGGAATTTATTGGAGCGCAACGGGAATTTTTTCAAATTGTAAATATGCCAGCCCAAAGAAAATAAAAGGCGGGATTCCAAGTATTATATTATGCAACCCCGGAGCCGATTCCAATCACAAATATTTTTTAGATAAACATGAACATGCCAGGCTCCAAGCGTGGACGATCCGAAATGCAGAGTTCTACACAATCGATCAACCCTTCTTCACCAGAGCCAATCAAGAAGAGGCATCGCAATGAGAAGAAAAAGGCCCAATGGAGGAAGATTGTAATAACCCGACCCTCATATCTGTTTCTAGTATATTTTCGATCTGTTATTCTGTGCATTTACTTGCTTTCTGTGAAAAGTGATTTATATCTGTGGCATTTTTATTAGTGTATTTGGAACCTCCCTATTTTATTTTGGGCTATTGATTGTGGTGGTAATATGATGGTAAAGTAAGATTGGATCAAAAACTTTAATTTGAATAATTCGTTTACGACCAACCGTCACTCTTTTGCCCTTTTCTTGTTCCATACTTGGAATTTGGATGTGAGGTTAGAACCATTGGAAATCTTATTTTTGGGGCTTCAATTTGGGCACAAGAATGACCTAAAACGGAGTCCGGATGAGAGAGTTACGCCTGTTTGAAGTTTTCATATCTGTGCTGGAAGCAGAACCGCACGTGCGGGAAATGCGGCGCACGTGCGGCGATGTGCGGGGCAGCAGCTCAAAAACGTGATTTTTGAGTCATTTCTTAGATTTTCTTTTCCTCTCTTCTTCTTCCCTCTTCCATGTCCGAAACCCTAGCTCCCAAAACCTTGATTTCCTCCACTTTTCTCAACAAATCAACCATGGATCTTGCATCAAGGATGGAGAATAAGAGGAGATCACCACTTTCTACCGAATGGAATTCCGAAATTTTTGAGGTATGTTGGGGTATGTTGGGGTTCTATTATGTATGGTTTATGGGTTATGGACCTAGGGTACCTAATAAATGAGAAGATTTGCAATCAAAAGTAATGGGTTAAGAAGATTCAAAATTGTATTTGAAATTTGTAGATTTCTTAGAAACCCTAGGTTGATTTTTGATGATAACCCATCCCAATCGTACCCTAGCCCCCGAGCCGAGACAACTCCGGTGATGACGGACATGTGGCCTTCGGCACCGAGTCAGGCTTTCCTAAGTTCTCCCATTTTAATAAAATATTTATTTGGCGACTCTGTATCTGGCAAAGCAGTCCATGTTTGGCACTACTTTTCAAAAAAATCAGTTTCTCAAAACGATTTGCCGGATTTGGACTCTTTGGCTCTCTTATGGGATGGGGAATGTGGTTTTTTGGTGAAAACACTAGAATTTAAGGAGTTTTGGGCGAACATGGAAATGTTCATAAAAACCTTTCTTTCTTTGAGTAGAAGATGAATGGGTGTAAATTCCATAATGTGTTTTGTTGAAGACTAGTAATCTTATATTATATATATATTATTGAGTTGGAGAAGTAGGTTTGAAACTTCATGCTGCAAAATATTGTTTGCTCTGTTTTACGTGCTTAACCCTCTGGAATTTGTGTTTGATGCCTTACTGTATAAGTTGTGTACACGTGTAGGGCATAACCTGAGAAGGACGAGCCACTCTGTTATAGCACTGTGAGTAATAGTACTCTAATGCACATTATTTACCGTTAATAATGATTCTTATTAACATCTTGTTCCCGTGGTCAATTAAGTAACATGTATGTGGAACGAGAATTAGTGTGAACTTATGTAACATTGAAGTGATTGGCACACACTAACATGATACAGATATCTACCTAGAGTGGATCATCAGAACGAATAATTGGATACGACTACAGTTGTTGTTACGTTAAATAACCTTATGAAATTATGTTAAATATTAGATGAACCTCTGAATGACTCCAATCCGGAGAAAGAATTGAATGTCAATAACACGTTATGTGACCCACGTTATGATGTGAATGGCTCCACTCTTATTAATGTAATGGAGCATTTACCTTCTGTTTATTGTTAATAGTGTGTTTTTATTATTGTGGAGCAATATGTCACCTTATGAGAAACCATGGGAAAATCTTAGAGCATTACTGGGTACTACGTTTGTTTATTATTGATAATGGATACTAACACACTGTTATCTGTAAGTCAGTTGTATGGATTTATAACGAACAAGGGGAATTAAGTGTATTACGAGATTATGGTATATGCATATCTCTGGACTCGTTATATGTAATAACATTCTGTTATCTGTGAACTAGAGGTAGTAATTCATGACAAACAAATAGGATGTGACTGCATTATGAAGTTCAATCTGGTAATAGTTGTTATTAGCACTCTGGTGAACGTAACGTAACTATGTTACCTCATGTGAATAATTGGAAGGAACTATGTGCTTCTGTATGATTTATAAGGCCGAGAGCCATTTGTGAAATATGAATCTATGAGGCCGAGGGCCAGCTTGTGAAATTATGAATATTTGTGAAATTATGAACTTATGAGGCCAAGGGCCGACTTGTGAATCTATGAACTTATGAGGCAAAAGGCCGACTTGTGAATCTATGAACTTATGAGGCCAAGGGCCGACTTGTGAATCTATGAACTTATGAGGCAAAAGGCCGACTTGTGAATCTATGAACTTATGAGGCAAAAGGCCGACTTTGAATCTATGAACTTATGAGGCGAGGGCCAACTTGTGAATTTGTGAACTTATGAGCCGAGGGCCAACTTGTGAATTGTAACTTATGAGGCCGAGGACCAACTTGTGAAATATGAATCTATGAGGCCGAGGGCCAACTTGTGTGAACTATGAATTCAAAGGGCCAAGGGCCAAGTTGTGAAATTATGAATCTCAATTATGAATCTATAAAGCCAAAGGCTAATTGTGAATATTGTGAACCCAGCAGGCCAAGGGTCAGTCTGTGAATTTGTGAACCAACAAGACCGTTCTGACATTAGTACGGAATCAGATTAACTACCTGTCTTTTATATTATATAAACTTCTGATTTTGCCATATC